AATTTTAGACATGTGATGCTGGCCATTTTTATTTTTGGTGCTTTGGACCTAATTGGCAAGTTGTGTTGAATGTTAGACATGTGTGATGCGACCATTTTAGCTACAGATAAGTTGTATGACAAAGAAGTTTCATATGAGTTGCAGTTTCATACTTATCGTATGGTTAATCCTGAACTAATTTTTTTATATCAGTTTTCCTGTTTTAGAGTTAAATAAAATGTGTGTGCTGAGTTTTGTGTTGTGATGCTGGTTCTTCCTTGTTTTTCTGGATTGTAACTAGGCCTTGCCCGGCCAAGCAAGAGAGAAGGCTTTTCCTTCCAATTCTTGCAGCCGCATGCATGGTCTTCCTTGCCCAGTCTCGTGCAGTGAGGGACGCTCTACCGCATGCCTGGTCTTCTAAATTTAGGCAATGCACGGTCTTCCCTTGCCCAGTCTCGTGCAGTGAGGCGCTCCACGCATGACTGGTCTTCTCCTAAATTTAGGCCATGCACGGTCTTCCTTTGCCCAGTCTCCGTGGTGAGGGTGCTCCACCGCATGCCTGGTCTTCTCCTGCCCAGCGTCTCATGCGGTGATCACCACGCCTCTAACAGTAATTGTCCAGCTTATGCTGTTTATTATTATTATTTTTTATTAAGGAGAATGACCCTGAAAGGTCTAGAAGTTACATCTTACGTGCTGTTTGGTTCCTTGCATAGTAACGCAAAAGTAAATGGAAGTAGTTCAAATTTGTCTCCCGCTGGTAACGAAAATAGCTTTGTTTCATTCTCGTTTCCGTTACCTCAGATGCTACCAAACAGCACGTTAATATTAATAAAAATGAGAACCTTGTAGTTAGAAAAGTTCTTATTTCTATCAGTAGATTCAGATGCTTGTAGTTTTTTTTTTATAGTTTTTAGTAGCTGAACCAAATTGGTTCAGAGATAATGGACATTGTGCCTTAGTTTTGATGTTCTTACTAACTTAGTAATGGTAGAGTACTTATGGAAATGTCTAGGAAGATACTCCTGCAAATAATGAAATAGTCAACAGAATAATTGAGGCAACTTTCAAGTCATTGGTTTGATAATCTGATGCATATAATACCTAACCTCCTGCATTGTTATGCATGAAAATGCTATGAATCACAAAATGGAGACATTCTGTTGTACTGTGTGACTTGTAAGCCAACAACCATGGGAACCAAGTTGCCAGTTGGAACTTCAATTTATTTAGTCCTAAATGACTGGAATATAATCTTGAATGTGGAATGTGAGTTTTTCTCCTAAATTTGTACGTATTTATAGATCATTTTATTACTATTATAGTCAATGAGTGCTAAGTATCATCTTGTCTTGCATACAAGAGTGGACCCGCTGGTTGCTTGTATCTTACAAGCGGAAGCATTCACGATTCATGAAGATCTTCAACAACAACAACAACAACAACAAAACTGTCAATCCCAAACAAGTTGGGGTAGGCTAGAGTTGAAACCCACCAAGAGCCCCTAGTCACGGTTCGGGCACTTCAATAGCTGCTTTCCAAGCACTCCTATTGAAACATAGATCTCTAGGTATATCCTAAGCTTTCAAATATCTTTTTATTGCCTCCCCCATGTCAATTTCGGGTCTACCTCTACCTCTTCTCACATTATTAGCTTGGCAGGACTCCACAATGCATTGGTGCCTCTAATGGTCTCCCTTTGGATATGGCCAAACCATCTCAACCGATGTTGGACAAGCTTTTCTTCAATTGGTGCTACCCTAGGCGGTCACGTATATCATCGTTCCTAACTCGGTCCATTCTTGTGTGACCACAAATCCATCATAACATACGCATTTGCAACACTCAATTGTTGAACATGACGAATCTTTGTCGGCCAACATTACTCCTCCATACAACATAGCCGGTCTAATCATTTTGCGTTCTATAAAACTTGCCTTTTAGCTTTTTGTGGTACCTCTTGTCACAAAGAACGCATGTAAACTTGTCGCCACTTGATCCACCCTCGCTTTGATTCTATGGCTAACGTCGGCATCAATGTCTCCATCTCTTTGTAACATCGATCCTAGATAACGAACCTGCGAAGATCTTCATCCCTAATTAAACAAAATGCTCTAAGTGTTGTTTCTTTAAGCTGCTGCATGTGTAACGTTGATTGTATTATCTTTCTCCTTGCAGCTACTGAATGGGTCAAGGGAAAACCAATGGATGAAGTTTTGACAATCAAGAACACGTAAGTTATCTATTATCTTCAATATTTTCAAGCTTGCTTAATATTATCCACTTTATTAATCATCTGAACATGCTAATATTGTATTTTGTAAATATGAATTGTTGTATATGTTTGCATCTTTAACAAACTCAAACACATGCTGCTTTTGGGTTACATAACATCGTTCTGTTCTTTATATGTGAATACCAGTGTGAGAATGTTGGGAGTTTGTATCTGAGAAGACTTCACTGGTTGTTATATGCTTATCTCTCTTTGATGACCATTCGATACTTTGATTTTATTTTTTATTATATAACCAAGTACCGGTTAAGCATGATTAGGATTTCTTAATGATGTCACATTCCGTTTTTGATGGGTTCTTTGAGTGGCAATGAAATGATCTTTCTTAAGCTGTCAGGAGTAATCATTTAATTTTCTCCCTTGTTCCTGGGAGTGGCTGGCAGATTATCTGATGTGTTAGTTTGTACAGTTCCTATTCAGCGACATTATTGCTCCTCTGATGTTGTTTGACTTTCAGTAATCAGAAATGGTACATGTGCTTATTCCATTAGAGGATATGACTTATGCTCTTATTCTCTTCTTTCTTTAGAAAAAGATGAATTCCTTCATTTACTTTCGCACCCTCGCAGCTGTGAGGGCTTGTTTGTTGAGATTTTTCTGGGCAGTGTCAGAATCCCTTAGCAAACACCACTGTAACTGAGTTTGTTACTCTGTTTTCCAGTGAGATTGCGGTTAAGCACTTGTCCCTTCCACCAGTAAAGCTCCATTGCAGCATGCTTGCCGAGGATGCATTAAAGCTGCCGTGAAAGACTACGAAGCCAAGAAGGCGAAGATGGGGCAAAAGGGTGAAGACAGTCCTTCAGAGAAGGCTGCTGAAGCATGAAAGTTTCTGCCGTGAAGTATATTGAGCTGATATGTTTCTCAGTCCATGACTCCCCACCGCTTATTGCCAAAGATAAATGCTTCTGTTTGTGAGGCGAGGGATTGTGTGTAATGTTCACAAACTCTGGTAGTGCGGCTTGTGCCTAACTCTTTTAAGGATGGTGACGACCAATTTCAAATAAATTTGCTGCTATCTTATAGAATTAGAAGAAAGTACTCCTATGTGCGCATGTACAAGAGCTTTTCTGGAAGTGTTATCTGTCAACATACGTAATGGAATTACGGTCGCCGTTGCACAAAGGCTATTTTAAATATTGGCATATTTTGTTTATGGTACGGAATGCCTATGGACTATGGTGATTGGTGTAATCTTAACGTTGCTTGCGGCTGGGATTTTAGGAATACTGAGATGGGAAATGCATATCGCGATGAGGATAGACATGCCCGATCCACCGGTTTGGTCGCATAATACGTCCTACCCGCGTTGCACCGCATGACGATGTGTTGTGATACCATGTCACTACTACTGGATACTTTTTTCTTCCGAGAAATAATGTTTTACTGGCCTTGGCAGACCAGGGGACAGCAATATAGGTTGACGAATAGCTCGTGGAAGTACTTCGCGGCGACACGGCGTGCCCTGGCGCCCTCAACGGCGCCGGCGGGTGCAGCAACCTAGACCGACCCGCCGGGTACGCATGCACGCACCACGTACTTCCTTGGTTATCAATGGTGAACAATACAGTACCCTGCATCGTGTGTAGGTCTGAAGCGCAGGGGGGAGAGCTGCCAGCGACAGTGATATTCAGGTGGCCTCCGCCCCAGCGTACGTGACGCGTGCGCGGTGGCAACCTCACGGCGTAGGACTGTAGGAGCAGCCGCTCAGCGTCGAGCTGAAGTCCAGATGGGGCAATAGCCAACAGGTGAGCAAGCCAGTTCAATATGTATGCCGTTGCTGTGTACGTGAGCAGCAGACGTTGGGCGTATATACGTACTGAGACAGTCAGAAGTAAGGTCGAGGTGAAGAACTCGTGGAGGAGTAGAGGACCAATGTATACAGAACTATATATAGACGTAAGAATACAAAATTTCCTTCAAATCAATCAAATGAATAAACGTGCGAGATTCATGAAGTACACATGCATGCAACCAATCCCTACACTTGTGAATAATAAGACAACCCTGGTCTGGTCGCAAAACGGTGTAACGGCTAACTCTAATAAACTGGCCATCGCAACAGCCTACAAGAAATCAGCAGTCTGTCGTTCATAGCCTCCTCTCTCCTTCTCTAGAAAGAAAGCGGCTGGTGACCTGTGCTAGCTGTTGGCATGGCTTGGCTAACGATGCTGCGCTTCATGGAGGCCACGTACTCGGAAACGTCCTCGCTTGGTGGCACCCAGAACGCACCGGCCAATGAAGCACAGCAGCGATGAGAAGACGGGGGATGGAGTGGGCAAAGCAGAGAATCACGACGAGCAAGGAAGCTAAAAGAGGAAGAAACCCACCGGAGATGGATGGGGATGGAGCCGGCGGCGACAGCGTTCACACTTGAAACAAAAATGAAAGAAAGCCATCAGAAAAATACTTGACAAGTCAACCTTGCCAAGTTTCTTAATATATATCATCAATCATCCTCAAGGCCGCCGTTTCTATTGCCCTTCTGTATGATAAATCCAGTATTCCATGCCCCTAGCTGCGTAACGAAGGAACCATCGATGCCACAAGTTCGCCCGGGCCAGGTACTGTCATTGCCGTCGCCGCCGGTGAGGAGAGGCTGATGGAAAACCACCACCGTCTCAAGACTTCGCACGCTGCTGATGGTCATTGTCTAACCCTTGCCAGAAACTCGCCACATCACGGGAAGGCCATGTCGTGTGGTCATCTTCTCCATAGAGAGCGAGGTCCTACAGGATGAAGGAAGGGCCGGGTCCTTCAGAATTTGCCTCCGTGGGGAAGTCCTTTCCACAGCACTTGAATTAAGGCAACAATACAAACAATTAGGTCAGAAACTACCCTGAGTCCTATGGGAACCAAACTACTTCCTAAGGCTAACTCCAACGAAGAGACCCAGATACAACACCCATTCGGTATTATAGGGCGTCCACAGTAAAAAAAACGACGGACCCAAATATCTCCTCTCCAACGGAGAGACCCAAATCCACCGCCGCGCCCCTCCCCTGGCTGGGCACGCGCATGACGTTGCGCCCTCCACGGACCTCGTGGCGGCCCGGCGTCCTCAACGCCGGGAAGCACGCCCATGACCAAGCCTCCCCGCCATTTGGGCCATGGTGGTCGATGCATCGGCGCCTCGCTCTCTCCTCCCGCCTCTGCGTCCCCATCCAAGATGGCGGGCTTGGTGGGCCTCGTGGCTAGCCCCTCCTCGCCCCTCTCCTCCTCCGTCAGGCCTCTCTCTCTCTCTCTCTCTCTCTCTCTCTCTCTCTCTCTCTCTCTCTCCTGTCCCCATTGTGCGGCGCATGCGGCCGGTCGGTTGCGGGCCTCGGCGGTGTCATGGCCCATGACCAAGGCGTCCATGGTGCCATCCCAAGACAGCGCTGGAGCCCTTCCTCGGCCCGTGGCGCTTCGAAGGCAGCCTTCTAGCGTGCGGCCTGGCGAAGCCCCCCCATGCTGGCGGGCGCCACCACCACGCGCATAAGATTTTTGCGTCGTCTCTCCTCGACGACGCTTTTTTGCGTTCTTGCCGGCGTCGGACGCAAAATGGGTTCCTTGAATGGGTCTTCTGTTGAGCGTGATTTTGATAGGCAAAAATATTGTGCGTGACTTATTTTGCGTTTGCGGCTCCTCATTGGAGACAGTCTAAGTGCTTGTGTTCAATGGCTGTTGGTGCCATTGCCATCAAAGATGAGTTTACTGTTTACTGAATCTCCCCCAATGTCAGGCAACTGCCCAAATCAAACAGAGCGAGCTCCTAAGGTCAAACAAGATACAAGTTCAGTAACTCCTGGGAGATGTCCTGTTGGGCTGTTTGTTCTTTTTTCTGACATTTATATTTGGGCAATCCATTCCCCATCATAACTTAACAGAGCAACGCCATATATGTAATTGAACCAGCGAGCAGCCTAAGGACATGGAGTAGCTAACAACTCTACAGTCTACACTGCCACTGGCGGCATGGACTAGCTGAATCAGCGTTGCACACAGCAAGCAACCAAGAAATCATCAAGCAACGGACTGAATTGGACGCAGTGACAGCCATTGGACTAGCATAAATAAAAGATTCCAAATTTATAATCACAAAATCAGGGCAGCCATTATAATAAATCTCAAAAAGGAAACAGCATACGCGGAGAGCTCAAGCAGGGAACAACTTCAGCGACATGCCGCGGCGGCCTCAGTCGGCGGCGGCGGGTGCGGCGACGGCCGCGGCCACCTCGAGGACGGGGGTCACGGCGGTGGCCTCCTCCACGTCGACCGTGGCGCCGGACGCGACGAGCGTCCAGTCGGGCGGGAGCGGCGGCAGCGGCGGGTACTGCGTGGGGCGGCGCTTGATGTCCCACGGCTGCGTCTTCTTGGGCCGCGTCTTCATGTGGTGCTTGGTCCCCTTCTTCTGCGGCCGCGACGAGCACTCCACCGACAGCGCCGCGCGCCCGCCGCCGCCGGGGAGCGAGGGGAAGCCGACGGAGTAGTGGCGGGCGTGCTGCCTCGCCGGCGCCGGGGACGGGTACGGGGACGGCGGCACGGCCGTGCCCGCCAGGAGCGCGGTGACCGGCGACATGCTCGCTGCTCTGCTTCGGATGGGGGAGCAGAGCGTTGTGTTTGGGATAAGACGGGAGGGCTGTTTCGGATGGAACGAGATCCTAACATATTCCGAACTACAGCAGAGGGACGTACCTACGCCCGATGACGCTCATTGGGCATCCGACGGCGCAGCAGAAATAAGCACGGAAGCCGTCCAGGTACTCGCCGCTGCCGCCGCACCCATGAAGATGGCCGTCGGCTAGCTGCTGCTGCTCCCCACTCGCGGCCTTCCCCGGCGCTGGAGTAAGCAAGTAGATCCCTAGGAAAGTTCTCTCCTCCATCACCCTCTTTCTCTGCAAAGGAACGGATTGTTCCAGGCACTCGCCGCCGTTGCAGTGCCCACGAAGATGGCCGCCGGCCGG